ATTATTTATTAATCAACGAGTGTCTAGAGACGCTGTGTCTCTGATAGTGTGATACTGATGATAATAGTACTGATAAGAGGCGCTGTCTCTAGACGCTCGTATTAATCAGTAAGTTATTTTTAGACAAATAAATTCAACATTCGAGTGGTTTCACGAATTTTGTTTTGAATTATGGTCTTGAAGGTCTTGAATGGTCTAAAGACATACATCAGATTATATAGCAGTTAAATTAAAAGAAGCCTGCTTTGAATGGGGAATTCCTATGAATTCGGTCACTGCTGTAATTACAGATGGAGCAGCAAACATGACAAAATCTATAGAATTAGCTTTTGGAAGAAATCATCAAATTCCTTGTTTTGCTCATACAATTAATTTAATAGCAGAAAGATCACTGTTAAATGTAGCTGAATTGACAAAATTAATTTCAAATGTTAAATCAATTGTTACCTGGTTTAAGCACAGTGTGGTTGGAAGCGATGATTTAAGAAAATTGACAGGCGGGGATGGTAAATTAATCCAAGAAGTTTCCACTCGTTGGAACAGCACATTCTACATGTTACAAAGATTTATATCTCTACGCCCATTTGTAAATGAAATATTAAATAAGAACATTAAAGCACCTGAAATGATATCTGCACAAAGTGTATTAGATATTACAGAAGTGATAGAAGTTCTTAAACCTTTGGAAGCAGCAACAAGAGAGTTGTGTGGTGAATTTTATGTCACTAGTAGTGTAATTATCCCAATGACTCATTTATTATATAATAAAATAAATCTAACTAAAACTACAACAATCATAAGTTCAAAATTAAAAGTTGCTTTATTAGAACAATGCCAAAAGCGTTTTGAATTCATAGAAAGTGTAACACATGTGGCAATTGCCACTATTTTGGACCCTCGTTTCAAAAAGATATACTTTAAATCATCTATAGCATTATCCCGAGCTCTAAGTATAATATCCGATACATTGAAAACATCAACAGATCAAGTAGAAAGTATTCCAGAACCAGATTTAACAGGTACTTGATTTAATAATACAAAGTTATTTGATTAATTTATAAACTTTAGGTATGTTAGTTTTATTTATAATTAATCATGGTATACTTTTAAATATTAATTACTTTTTTAGACCAAGAACAGAATACATCTGATGGATTCAGCTTATGGGATAATCATAACGGCTTAATGCAACAAACCAACCAGGAATGCATTGAAACGGAAATTGGATATCCTTCAGAGTTGTGCCTATATTTAAAAAGCAATCTAGCAAATTTATCAGAGAAACCCTTAGAAGTATGGCATAACATGAGTACTGTCTATCCAAATCTGTCTAAACTTGCTATTAAATATCTCTCAATAGTTGCCACCTCTGTGCCCTCAGAAAGGTTATTTTCTAAGGCCGGGTCAACTTTAAGTACTAAAAGGAATAGAATTACATGTAAAAGACTTCATAAGCTATTATTTTTGCAATCACTAGATGATAGTTTATGGGGGATTTGATTATGTTTATTATTTTATATGTATATACTATATTATATTTATAAACCAGAGAGTTAAAATACAAGTGTTATAATTTTATTTTGAATTACTAATTTTATTGTTATGTACTTTTTTCATTTAGTACTGTTAAATACCTAATAAAATACTATTATTACCTAATTATAATTATTTTATCATTTTATCATTTTTTTATATACATATTTATATTTATTATATTTTTATTTATTTTTTTATATACATATTTTTCAGGGTTGACATGTTTAAAACATGATTTAAACTAAGAAAAGAAACAAATTGTTCATAGTTTTAAACGTTTTAAACAGCAAAAAAAAATCATTTGTAATAATTCTTTTGGTAAAAAATAATAACATAATAATAATAGTCTTATAAAACCAAATAGGCTTTTGGATTTTCTCTGACCATAGACTGAGACTTTAAAACAACAAAATTAATTTTAAATTTATAAAAATTAACAATAGAAAAAAAAACATCAATTCTAAGTTGTAACACTTTTAAAATAACATGTTCAACATATTTGATACTAACTTTGTTTATTATCAACTAAATATAAATCCGTGTTCACTATCAAGTTTAAAGACATTTTTAACATTCGAATCCCTACTATTTTACAAAATTTAATGAGTATATTCAATTTTAAATTTAAATTTTTTGTACCATCGAATATCGAATATTTTAAACAATCGATATTCTTATGACTAAACACCGATAGTTCAACATCGATAGCTTCATACATGAAAACAATCGAACATCGATTGTTTAAAATATTTGCCCATCACTACTCGCGACAGTGGCACCAGTGTTGCCGATAGTACGGTATTTGTCGGGGGATTACGGTAATTTCATACTCCGTACGGTCGGAGTACGGTCAACCAAAAATGGGTCAAATAGTACGGTAAATTCAAAAAAAAAAAATTAGCTTTTCATCATATTTGTTATAAATATTTTGTATTTGATTTTATTTTTGTATCAATTCTATATATTATATAATATTGAACTTCGAACCTGACCCAGACTTTTGATCGTGATATTATGTGAGCTGGACTAAGATGGTGCTCAGTTTCTCCCTAGTTAGAATTCCCATAGAATTCCATAGAATTCCCCATAAAAGAAAACAGAGTTTATCTAATAACCCCAAACCTTGGGTGAAACTATCATAATAATTAACTATAATTTTTGATTTTAAATATCATGTAATTTTTGTTTTTGAATTTTTTATCATGTTGTCTGTAATTCATAAGGGCTGGTTATTTTATTAATTTACATTTATTTTAACAACTACATAAAATCATCAATTAAAAATAAATTAATTCATCAAAATGTTTGAATAAAATAATAAATTGTTTAATATCTAAGTACGCGACCGCTGCAGGCAGAATAATGCAATATCCGACGGTAAACCACGGTATTCGTATTAAGATGATAATTAAAAATCACGGGGCCCTTTAACAAGCGCGGGGCCCTGGACAAATGTCCCATTTGTCCTCTCCTAGCGCCGGCACTGTCCATAACCCTGAACCCATTATAAGTTTTTACCTGAAGATTGTTAATTGTTATTTGTTATTAATTTTTAATAGGTTTTAATCACGGACTAAGATAAACAGGACTGGAAACGAGATAGTCATCTATGGAACTACAGTGTAACGCTTCTGGTACAAGTGCGATTTTAACGCCATCTATGATCCATTCTACGAAATATTAATACATTAGTGTCCAGTGATCATCATTATTCGTTACAGTATAAAAAATAAATATATCCTTGTAACTTGTAAGTTTGTATTAATTCTTTAATAATCTTTGCTATTACATATATCTAACTAAAATAAATGTGTTGTTTAAAGTACATAGCATACACTGTATTGATTCAATTTTAAATTATTGTTGAAAATAATTTTAAATTAAAAGCAATTAAGACTTAAGTAATAACTAATTTAGCAGACTTCTTTTTCTTTGAATTTATTTTTTGTTGGTTTTTATTTTCCATATTGGAATATTGTCGCATTCTTGTTGTAATATAGTACTTGAGGATAAACATTAAAATTTCATTTTTATGTTCACTACAAGGAAATATTAATAATCCGGCTTTATTATCCAGAACATCATCAAAAGTGTCCTCAAATACTGACATCTTATTACAATTTTTTAAAAAATAATTTTCAGCACCTCGTTTTAACTGAGGTATAGTGCATTCATTTCTCTGTTCATCTGTAATTAGTACCTAATTAATGTTATTTATAATTTAATTATTTACTAATATAAATATTTCATACATTATTTGGATGATTAGCATATTCATAAATAATGTCTAGGTTTTTAAAATGCTTTACACAAACAAATGTAGCAAGGCAATTTCGACCATTGGCATTTGAAATTGCTTCATTCCAAGCAGTTAAATTAACCACATCTTTTGGACTTTTAAATAAAGTGTGTTTTTTTCCCTCTGAAGATCCCGTACAGTCATCCACAGAGCATTTTCTCGGCATTTTAGCGAATAATAAATGGATAATATAGTTGGTAAAATGTAATGTGCATTAAATACTTAATGCTAATACCTAAGAGCTAATAGGTGCGTATAAATCACGGGCTAAGATAGAGTCACAATAGAGTTATCTTAGTTTATCTTAGTCCGTGGTATAAATGTATTAAACTATTGTACCTAATTGTGGGGCAACTATCCAAAACGTACTATTTCCATTTTACACTTTTTTGAGAAATCACGATTTTGGAAATAGTACGTTATGTATTTAATTCCATTATATTCCCTATCTCCATAGTATGGGAAATAGTACATTTTGGCCTACTTTGGAAATTGGACGTTTTGCGTCATTTATGAGTTTCAGATTGATTTTAACAAGGGAAATAGTACGTTTTGTCACAATTTGATTGCACTATTCGATTCCCTGCCTTAATTTCTATAAGAATCATTATGTAACTCAATTTCTTCAATTTTGGCAATAGTACGTTTTGGATTGCCGCCCCACAATTATAAACAGAAATAATATGCAAATAAATATATGTGTAACAAATGCTAAATATTATCAATAGATAGAGCCACATTTGTCCATGTACTACAAGCGTTACACTATGGTTCCGGCTACCCGCACTCCTCCCGTCTATCGTTTCCAGTCCTGTTTATCTTAGTCCGTGGTTTTAATGGTTTTATAAATATTTGATAAGAATTTGATAAGAATTTGATAAGAATTCGGATAAGAAATTATAACTGATAACCATGCTGATAACCTAAAAAATCAATAAGTACGGTAATATTGTTCAAAGTACGGTAATTTTGTCATATTTTCCCCGCTGACTAGATAACAAACATTGGCAACGCTGAGTGGCACAGTGCGAGTAGTGCCGGGGCGGCGGGGCCGAAGTGCTGCGCGTGCACCCGTCGGCCATCAGCTGTGGCCCGTGGGTGGGACAACCGACACAACCACAGCCACTCACACCACAGAGTAACGTCATGTGACC